TTTGGTGCCAAGATCCCACGGCTCTGTGGTCGTCGATCATCGAGGATCGACGGCCACAAAGCCGACGATAAACTCAGAAAACAAAGCAGGGGGTCCGAAACCGCCTGGCAGGTGACTGCGCTGGAGGGGCCCGGCCCCCAACTGGGTGCCCTGCCCGGCCAGGCCTCCCGGGACCTCCCCCGGGGCGCAGCCTGTCACCCAGGCGGCCCGGTTCCCCACTAAGGCAGAGACTGCTTTTAAATGCCAATTGGGACCAACGGGCTAACTCTAGGTGGCGGGTGCCAAGCATGTCCAGGAAGGTACATAAGGCACAATGGGGATTGAACCCAGGACGTCCTGAATGCCACTTGCGTGCCTTACCAACTGATATTACAGCCCTGCTGAAGTCAGGGCATCAGGAAAAGAAAAAAGAACCCCCCTCCCCCCTCAAAAAAAAAAAAAGCAACATCTCTTTGGACGTCAAACCAGCTAGGTACAAAATCTGGAGTACATGTGAGAGTATGCTCTCCCAACAGAGCAGAAAATAAGGGCCTCGTTCCACTACTCGCCATCCGCCACGCATGGCGGACGCGACTTGGTTCCACTGCATCGCCAATAGCCACAAAATGGAGGTTGTCGGAATTTGGGTGTGAAATCACTTGGCAATGTGCCGCCAAGGCTTTCCATTTCCCCTGCCTGCAACGGCCCTTCGTGGAGGCTCTATTCCTCACCCCTCCGCGAAATGCTTCGTGTGGCCATTGCCCCTGACACAGCCATCCTGACAGTCGACATGCGTTGTCCCCTAGTATTGGCAAGTTTTAGCTGCACCTGTAGTGATTTCCAGTCCGAGTACATGGTGAAGAGAAGGCGGCCACCATTCATTAGCTCGCCATCCGCCACAGTCCGGGGAGCAGGCCGGGACAGCAACCACAACGCACGTGGCGGCGGCGATGTAATGGAACCAAGGGCCTAGTTGCACTACCGTCGTAGGCCAAGTTTGGCGAGTAGGCGCCTGGTTGCACTTACTAGCCAAACTTGGCAAATGCAAAATGTGTCAGACGGCTCGCCACACCGTCGACACAACTTGTGGAGAGTGAATTCAGTTTCCCCGCCTGTGCACGGCGGTTTGTGGAGGGTGGTCTTCGGACCTCTCCACAAAACAGCTTTTTGGACCTCAATGCCGAGATCGCTTGCGACTTGTCCTTGTACCTGATGTCATGCATCTTGCATAAGACCTTCAGGTCCGTGTAGTGAAGACGAAGGAGCTGCATGTCCATCATCAGTTCGACCCCGAAATTAATGCTCCATTTTGCCTTCGACTTCGCTGTCGACACGTTGTGATTAATCTTCGTTCGTCCTCTCTTAGGGTGTGGAGGGATTACGCGTCCCAATCTGCTTTTGTTCGGTGCGCTTCTGCTTGACATGCTTCGGCTCGGAATGTTGTGACCACCATGTACTGAAGTTGGTAGTCCAGCCATTGTTCCCCACATATCCGTTCGGATGAACCAAAGACGACACGATCGGAGTGCGGGTACGAGTCGGTTCATTGATCTTCTGCAACGCGCCCTTCATAACCGCCAGATCATACTTTAGTAGCTTCAGGTTGTTGACCTCCTTCTGCACTTCCGATACCATCCTTTCTACTTTATCTTCCGCCTCTGCATTCTTCTGGCCGGATGCGCTTGGACCAGCTTGATTCTGTCCCCCTTGGTTCATCTCTGTCGGCTTCAGTGCTTCATCAATGATGTACTTGAGCGCGTCCGGAGTTAGCTCAGGCTTCTTTGCAGTGTCTTCCTTGTTCGGAGGAGCTGGCTGCTTTTCACTTGTCTTTCGTGTGAGTTGCTCCAGTGTCTTGAGAGCTTTGTCCATCTTCCGGCGGAGCTTAAAGATTTCTTCCTTTAGATCAGCCGTAAACCGCTCTCGATTTTCTGGTGGGGGGAAATCATTTTGTCTTTGCTCCCACAATGGTCTCGAGAACCACCTTGGAGATTCTGATTCCGCCCTTCTTCTCCGTGACGATGGTGATCTTGACTTATGTCTTTTATCTCTCATAGTTTTCGATCTCCCCCTTCTTTAGCACTTCCTCCCTTGAGATCCGGAAGATGATGATGAGTGTCTGCGCCGCCTCCTGTCCGACGATGATCACGAACGTGACATCTTCCTTGAAGCTTGGGAACGTCAGGTAGGTAATCTTCGTACTTGAAATCGATCAAAAACCCCACAACGTCGTTGATCGTCTTCAGTACACACCAGATAAGTAAAATAGAATCTCCAAAAATCGTTGAGTAATCTCCACGCTATAGTAATCTCAAACAAATCGCCACTATGATATCATGAAAGAAAAGGGTTACGAATGATGACAAAGAGATAAAGACAGTGAATGTAAAATGGAAGAGTGACAGGTTTATACAGTGTCAATCATCGCGGGTACCGCCCGCAAGTTCTAAGCACCGTGCATAGAGATAAACACATGCAAATGTAGACAGAAGGTTCGAGGTGTTACTTTCACAGCATACACATGCAAATGTTGACAGAACGTGCGAGGTCTTACTTTCACAACATACACATAATGTCCATGGCATGCGACACCAGTCACGATTACCCTTCTACCTCACTGCTCAGGTAATCATTTCAGCCACCATCCTCAGTATTTATTCCCTTCGTTCCCAGTCCTTCTCCGCCACTTTCCCTATCCTTGCAGTGTACTCAATATCTATCCTCAGGATCTCCCACAGTCGCTCTTTGTGTTGTCCTTGTCGTCGTCGATTTCCAACATGCCTTCAATCTGGAGCTACTTTCATAATATCTAATGATTCTGTGCGTGCTACTTACGTACTATCCTCTCTGTTGGAGTTTCATCTTACTGTGGTACTTGCCTATAACTCCGCTGTTTTTTTATATTGACTCGAATCTGACCTTGTTTGTTGTTTTGTTCTTGTTTACTTTCATGGCCGTGGATTTTCCTTCATTTCCAGGTGAGTACTTTTTCTTTATTGGTTCGTTTCCACTGCTTTAGGTCTTTCATTTTCTATTTGTTTCGTATGTTTGGAAATGTGAGCGGCACTGTTACGTCGTTATATCTGCAGAAATTCCGTGATATTCCGGGGTACTTAGTCGTGTATGTTTCTTTTTCGTCCCTGAAAATTCATTTTCATTCCGTGCAAAATTATTTTTTGATTTTTTATTTTTGATTTTTCGATTTGTGATTTTAGCTTTATATTCCGAGTCGTGTGAATTTCTTGACGTATTTTATTCCGGTCTTTCGATTTGGTGCTTCTTGCTTTTCCAGGTACTCCTGTAATTTATTTCGGATGTCCACGTCCCTGCAGTTTCGGATGAACGCAAGTATCGCGACGCGGGTTATTCTCCATGGGTAATCTATGAGTCGGAGTTCCGTCCGAAAATGTCAATGACGGGCGGTAGATCCGCCATCTCGTATGTGTTAGCTTCTATTTGATGAAAAGTTCCGATAATCGTCAAGGTCTTGGTTCTCTCAGAACCCGCACTCCTGAAGTGACGCAACGTCATGAGAGAGAGAGAGAGAGAGAGAGAGAGAGAGAGAGAGAGAGAGAGAGAGAGAGAGAG